GTAGATGCCATGAGAGCTAAGATGGACTCAATGGAGACCAATGGAGTCTGGACTCTAGTAGATCCACCCCCTGGGGTGAAAGCAATTGGTTGCAAATGGATCTATAAGAGGAAGAAGGGCCCCGGTGGTAACGTTGAGACCTATAAGGCTCATGTTGTGGTGAAATGATACATTCAAAAAGAGGGAATCGATTATGAAGAAACCTTTTCGCCCGTGGCCATGCTTAAATCCATAAGAATCCTGCTAGATGTAGTAGTACACTATGACTACAAGATTTAGCAAATGGATGTCAAAACCTCATTCCTGAATGGAGATCTTACTAAAGATATCTACATGCAACAACTAGAAGGGTTCATTGCTACAGGTCAGGAACACATAGTGTGTAAACTTAATCGATCCATATATGGACTTAAGCAAGTTTCTAGGAGTTGGAACATCCGGTTTAACTCTACCGTCAAATAGTTTGACTTTGAACAAAATCCGGATGATCCCTGTGTTTATAGGAAGATAATGGGAGATAAGGTAGCATTCTTGGTTTTGTTGTAGATGACATTCTACTCATTGGGAAAGATGTAGGAATGTTAACTACGGTGAAAGTATGGCTTTCACAGCAATCCTCCATGAAAGATCTTGGAGAAGCTTTTTACATCTTGGGACTTCAACTCTATAGAGATAAATCGAAGAGGATAATAGGATTATCCCAATCTACTTACATTGACAAGATTGTCTAGAGATACAGCATGGAGAACTCCAAGAAAGGAAATGTTTCTTTCAGCCACGGAGTCACTCTCTCCAAGGGTATGTCTCTTAAGACTCCCGAGGAGATTGAGGGCATGAGAGAGGTTCCCTATGCCTCAGCCATAGGGAGCATCATGTATGCCATGCTGTGCATTCGGCCAGACATTGCTCAAGTTGTGAGTGTGGTAAGAAGATACCAGTCTAACCCGGGACTAGAGCACTGGACTGCTGTAGAGAACATACTTAAATACCTTTAAAGGATAAAAGAGTTTTGTCGGGTATTCAGTGGTAGTTGACTACAAATCCTAGGGTATACCGATGTCGATTTCCAGTCAAATCCAGATGATAGAAAGTCTACATCTGATTGCATCTTTACTATAGGGTCCTATGCAATTAGTTGGAAGAGTAGCAAACAAGGGTCCACAACAAATTCCACAAACGAGGTTGAGTACATTGCCGCAAGTGAAGCTGCCAAGGAAGCCATTTAGATGAAGAAGTTCATTCAAGAATTAGGAGTAGTTCCATCCAGCACATCGCCCATTCCACTATTGTGTCACAACACTGGAGCCATTGCTTAGGCTAAGGAGCCACGAGCCCACTCAAAGTCGAAGCACATCGAGAGGAAGTACCACATCCTGCAGGAGATTGTTGGTAGAGGGGACATCCAAATTCAGAAGGTAGCATTAGCGGAAAATGTAGCAGACCCATTGGCTAAGCCATTGACACAGAAAGTGTTTAAGGAACAGGTGGAAAGTATGGGACTCTGGCTTATACCCGATTGAACCTAAGTGTAAGTGGCAGCTGTTAGATAGTGTATGCTCTTAGCTCCAATCAGCTTGATGTACATTATGACATATATTGTAAATGAATAAAGTACATATTTGATTCATGTTATATTGGTGTGTTTCTATATAATACCCTTAAACTGGACACTTATGAGACTCATATTAGTTTAGAATCTTCACAGTCGTTAGATAGATCTGGGGAGATTTATCCTGCCAAGGCTAACACTAATGTGCTGCCAAGTGGGTTGGGGCGGCTTGTGTCAACTGCCAAGGTGAGACCTCACCTGAAGCACATGCAATGTGGGTTTGCTTGAAACTCTGAAATCGGACCAAATTCTAGTATTTCCCTGGACCTTAGAGACAGATAGGCAAAACTGAAATGTTACACCTGACCCCTAGACCCGATTATGGTATTGCACTAGGTATCAAATTGGGTTGTCTTTGATATGCCAATCAGTGAGATCCTTAGAGGGGGTCAAAACCTGGGTATGTTGGGGCAGTCCGAGAATTCACCTGAGTGGGTGATCATAGTGACAGGATCAACCCCTTTGTCGGACAAAGTCATGCTCACATACTCCCTACTCAATTCTTGGTGAAGAATCTGGGTTCTTGGGGAAGAACCCCTTTACTGATTCTGCCTCAACATAAGCTGTGTCATCTTCAACAGATGCGGGTTTTGATAACCTCTTTGGGCGTGAACACCTACATTGAGAGAAGCATTTGCGTGGACTCCGTATCAGGTATTCCTCTCCCTCTTTTGGTTTCAAATCTGGTACAGTTTATTTCAAGAACGAACCTTGAAAATGTGGTTTTCTAAATTAGGGAATAAGATTCCCAAAAGGGAGAAAACAAATATTGAAATTTCGCCCAACCTCCCTGCAAGGTTCAGCCATCCATATGATAGATATCCCTTCCCTTCAAGCATAGCTCCAATGGTGGAGCCAAATTCTCCTTCATCTTCTTGTAGCAATTTGATCAAGATCTCCATCTTGTGCATCGATCCATGATCTCCACCTTGCTTCTCATTGATCCAACTTCAGGTCTACTAGAAATAACTAAAAAAATCCTATTTTACATATGGAAAATCTAATACATATTGAATCCAAACAATAAAGATAAAAACGTGGGAACCCATTTTAATTTAAAAAACTGACCAAGCTAAATCACAACCCTCAAATGATACAAATTGAGCAATCAAACAATCATATTGATAATTTTAGACAAAACACATAATAATCATCATAAAATAAACCTGTGGTGTACATGACAAAGAAATTGAGCTTCTCTCTCCACTAGTTCAATCAAGTTGAAGATGGTGTAGGCATTGGGTATTGAATAGTTCAATCCATTGAGAACACAATAGTATTTGGTTACCCAAATCATCTCTGTTAAAGGTTGATTTCTATAATAGATATGATAAAGAAAGGAGAACAAATTTGCAAGTTTGATCCTAAGTAATAGCTAAGGTTTTTTGATTAAATGGTGTTGTCTATAATGGTTGAATGTGTAACCTGTTGTTCTAGACTCTAATGGATATTTATAGACTTCTAATAAGTCTTAAATAAACCCTAGAAAAGTCCAAATCAAGGTTGTATTTGGTTCCGTAGGTGTTTATTGAAAAAATGCCATCACATCAGTGCCACATAAGCATTGGTGTTTATTGCAAATGATGCAAAATGAAACAACTGTTTGGTTTCACCGTTTATTAAATAAATGGTAGAAAACTGAAACGCTTTGATTTTTGTGCATGGGGCATTTGGGGAAGCGTCAAATTCTTGTTTCCCCCAACACCCCAGCATTTCTTGAAACCAAATGCTGATGTGGCATACTTTAATGAGTATTACTCTGAGGTGGAGAGTAAAAAATGTTTAAAGTGAAGCCCAGCCAAACAATAAAAATAGAAAACGTTTAAAGTGAAAAAGTATAAATAAACATTTAAAGTGAAAAAGTACAAATAAACTGCTCATCCATAAATGCCTATAAAACCAAGCACATAACAAATTAGGTATTGGATAGTTAAGATAGACTACAAATTCAGTCCTAGTTTGACTTGTCTAGACTAGTCAAGTTTCTAGTCAAACTTGAAGACTTGCAACTTTGTTTGAACCACTTTCAATAGGTCTCTAGTTTCTCAAAGGATAAGAGAACGCAACAGAATTTGGCTACCCAAATCACCTCTATTAATGGTTGATTTCTATAGTAGATATGATAAAGAAAGGAGGACAAATTTGCAAGTTCGATCCTAAGTAATAGCTATGGTTTTTTGACTGAATGGTGTTGTCTACAGTGGTTGAGTGTGTAACCTATTGCTCCAGACTTTATAGACTTCTATTAAGCCTTAAATAAACCTTAAGAAAAGTTCAGATCGAATTAGGTATTGGCTGGTTTAAGATAGTCTACTAATTCAGTCCTAGTTTGACTAGTCTAGAGTAGTCAATTTTCTAGTCAAACTAGCTAGAAGACTTGCAACTTTGTTTGAACCATTTTCAATAGGTCTCTAGCTTCTCAAAAGATAAAGAGAAAAGACATTCTTGTATGGCATCGGAACCACATGCAAATTATATCAAAACAATATGCAGCCCATTAACCCACATTAAGTGAGTTGGGACCACTAGGCTTATTAAATTATCGACCTAAACCATTCAGCCTATTAGTACTTAATACTAACTATTTGGACCTTAACCACCCTATGACTCCAAGTCTAGTGGTCCAAATCCAATTATATGTCCATTAGGGATTTGGGCCTAATAAGACACTTGCTACATGATCTCTCAATGATTAATACCTAACATTAGGATTAGGGAAGGACGTATTCCCTCAATACATAGCCCAATGTCACACCCTCTCATCGGTGGATCCCGGGAAAGAATTATTTTGCAAACACCTACCCTTTCAAAATAAACTATCTTAAGTATATGTGTATACTTTTGCAAAATAGATTCAACAACTTCTGAAATCAACTATTGATGGATTTGACCATTCATTCATTGAAGAGGGTATATTCACAGATATTCTCTTTGTTTGATAAAGAGGTTGATTCTACCACAACGATCATTTGTCCAAATACCCTTCATAACTGTCCCAACATATCCAAATGTTAATCCCCCAAAAGGATCTCATTAATTGACATATCAAAAGCAGCTTATTTGGATATCCAACTAATTACCATTGTCAGGTCTAGGATCACAAGCAACAATTCAGATATTCTAACTATCCAGAAGTCTTAGAATAATCTAAAACTTGGTTTAGTGCAGTGTTTCAAGAAAACACTCATTCCCACACTTTGAGTCACAGCCATAGTAGATGAGGCAATCTGCTCCATTCGCATAGGTAGTATATGAATGTCAACTTTTTTCAAGATTAGACCACCCAAGCTTATCCACTGATTGAGAGCATTTAAACTACATACCAAATATGGTGTCTCCAACATAATCCTAAAATGTAACACTATGATTAAATTAGTAGAAACATACCATATGATACATGAAATAATTGCATTTTTATTCACAATATTAGTCAATTACAAGCATCATTGGACCTCAAACAAAATATATATTGACATCTTTAGGGTTTGGAGAAAATTGGTGACCCGTTATGTTGGGCCAGCCCAAGAGCCTCAGCCAACTTGAGAGATAGGAAACACAAGTATATAGCAAAGAGCCCACCACCCAAAACCCTATCTAGCTTCATTTCTTTTCTAGGAAGTATGACAAGGGCCCAAAGCAAGCCAGCTATCAAGAACCCTAGAACCTCATAAAGCGTTGAATCTTCAGGAATGATGAAAGAAGAAGGGTACGCAGACCATGATGAGAAAACCAGTGACAAGCCCAAGCCCATTAATGTGTTGAAGATTGGCCCCGCATAACAGCCCGAAATTGCAACCTGGGTCCCTTCTGGCATGTTGTTCACTGCCATTGCAACATTGGCGATCAAGTCTCCCAGTGAATTGCCCCATGCAAGCAGAGTTACTGCTAGAATCGAAGGGCTTATTCCAAATACATGACCAACCGAAACCAGCAGAGAGACCAACTCCTCAGCTATAATATAGGTCCAGGTTATACTCATCAAAAACCCTCCTGCAAGCCAAGCGAGCAAGAATTTCTTTGGTGGGTTGGACTTCTCAGTGGTCAAAAATGCAAGAATTCCCAAGACAATCCCCGCCGAGGTGGCAATTATATAGATCACTACACCTGCACTGGAGCCTATATTTTCGCTTTGAGAGTTACAGAGGGCTGCGAAGAGAATTGGTGATAATGTTACTGAGATAACTCCAAATGGCTTAGACCATTTCTCCTCACTAACAACAGGAATTGTCAATCTCCTCGGCAAGTAAAGAGGTAGTTCTAGAATGTGAAGAAGCCTAAGAATGAAGTAATTTGTTGATGGGTCAAGACAGAAACACCTTGTTCTTGAATTCTGATCATCATCCTCTTCATCAAGTCCACCACTATCGGTAAAAACGGGATTCTGATCATCATCAAGGTAACCCAGTAATGGTTTATCCAAGTTGGGGTCATACGCCAAGAAGCTCCTAGAGGCTGCTAATGTAGAAGATTTAGAAAAGGAGTTTTGGTCGTCCCTGTCTTTCGTCCTACAATGTGTGGTTGAGACTATAATGACATAAACGAGGTAGAGAGAAAAAAAAGCTGTTGCACCGAGCAGATTGATCTTACCGATGATCACAATCACAAGTAGAGACGAAAGAGATAAAAGGAAGAAGACAACATCTCTTATGAAGCATGACCTATCAATGGCTACCTGATATGGGCTGACGGAAATGCTAATGACTCCAACAACCGTGCTAGATATGAAGAATGCCCCACCCAAAACACCGTTCAGCCCAACTTGACCAGACCCAGCTCCCATGAAAGAGACAATACTAGAAAAAACGTCAGGCGCACCATTGCCTAAAGCAAGCAGAGTCACACCGGCAATGGTTGGGGAAAGATTCAAAGCTCTAGATAACCTCTCTAAGGAATAGCAGAAGTAGATGGCCGCTGTGTTACCCAACAAGTAGAACAGAACTACAAGCCACAGGATAAGTATGGTGCAACCCAATACAGAATATTGGCCGCAGATGCAATAGAAGATTTGGAGATAGTCTATGTAGCCTTTAGGCTGGCATCCCTTTTCTGATTTCAAGTATGCACACTTGGCTTCGTAGTTGTCGTACTCATGAAGACGACTGCAATCATCGTCGTCGACGTCTGGTTCGTGTACAATCTCTGATGAGAAGATGGTAATGCTATTGCTACGTTTTTTGGAACTTCTGAGCAGCTGCGAATTGATGGGATGAAAATGGGTTGAGAAGTAGAAAATGAGGAGGAAGAGAAAAGATGTGTTTAGGAGGAGAGACAATTTCTTGCCTCGGTATAATAATGAGGCCAACCCTGCCATTAAATGGAGTTCTACAGTCGACCACTTTTTGATGAACAAATTGGTGACGACTGACGAGACGAATAAGCTAAGAATGTTTTATCATGTTTCCCCCCTCCCCCCGTCCCCCCGATTCAGGAATACTTATATTATTAATAATATACTGTGTGTGTGTGAGAGAGAGAGAAAGAGAGGGTTTTGCATACTTGCAGAAGGAATCGAAATCCAGCAAGAAATATAAAACGGATGGGAGGCTTGGAGCCTTAGACTCACCATTCATTTCTTTTCTTGTATGATGGGTTTGTTACACGAAAAAGCTTCATCTCTAGCCATGGCCAATTACATATATAATAGAAAGTTGAAAGGAGTAGGTGGTTTCCTCTTTTGAAAGATTTTATGCCATCATGTCATATATGAGGAGGCTAAATACTCAACGTAAGGCCTTTCATTGTATTTTACAAAAACAACAACGCGCAAGACCTGGCGAAGTCGACTAGATCCGCGGCTGGCAACAAGAAAGAAAAACTCGCTACTCGCTACGATGGGAATGGGGTGAACCGGGTAATGGTTCCATATCTGGACTTATTCCCTTAGGTAGCTTAATTACCCGTCGGCTGGGCTGGGGCCGGGTGTCAATGGACCGGTTTTGGATTGGACCCCGTCCAGTCAAAAATCAATTTGGATGGATTGGACGGACCAATAAGACATATTGGATTGGACCAATCCAGTCTAAAATATTTATTAGATTGGATTGGATCTGGTCCATTCGTAACAAATCTATATTGGATTGGGTTGGATTAAGCCAATATCTGGTCCATTGATATAAGATAAGAATATATGTGTCAATGGACCAGGTTTGGGTTGAAACCAATCTAAATCAAAATGAATTTGAAAAATTGGACTGTTCAGAAATTGAATTGGACAAGTCCAAATTGGTCCAAAACACTCATTGGATTGGATTGGACCTGGTCCATTTATAATGGATTCACATCGGATTGGACTGGATTGGACCAAACCCAGTCCAATCGATACCCCTAGACTCCAGTCCAAAATCAATTTGGACGGATTGGATGGACCAACAAGATATATTGGATTGGTGCAAAATGTTTATTAAATTGGATTAGACCTGGTCATTCATAATAACTTTAATTTATATTGGATTTGAGTTGGATTAAGCCAATATCTGGTCCATTGATATAAGATAAGAACATAGGTGTCAATGGACCAGGTTTGGGTTGAAACCAATCTAAATTAAAATGAATTTGAACAGATTGGATGGTCCAGACATTGGATTGTACAAGTCCAAAATATTCATTAGATTGGATTGGACCTTGTCCATTTATAATGGACTCACATTCCACTGGATCGGATTGGACCAAATCCAGTCCAATTGACACCCCTACAAGTGCGTAGGCCTCTGATCAATTGGTTTGATGGACCCAACAGATCTGAACCGAATGGTTTGGGTTCCGTTTTGAAATTCAGATCTCCTACCCACACCTATCCACATGACACTACAGCTGCACATTGGGAATATCTCCCCATGAATAAAAACATGTAAGCATCGTAGATGTTCTCAACGTACAGTTGTCGTGAGGGGTGGGTAGGGTTCTTGTGGGTAGGAGATCTGAACTCTCAGTTTTGTTGCTTCAACGTTCAAACTGTATATATGTATATATCTATCAAAAGAAACTGTATATAAGTATATATACAGCTATTTTTCTCACGCTATAATAATATTATATTATAATATACAAATGTATTAATTTAATAAATAAGTACGTAATTTATAAAAGGTTCGGATACACCTGTATCAGGCATATTGTATCATATTTCTTAGGTTCCAAAACACTAAAAGAAGAAGCTAAAGCAAGATAAAATTGCATGATTTTAAGTACCATACACCTCTATCCATGCGATACTTTGAACCTTCAATTTATTATCATTTTAAAAAAGGGTCATTTAGTAGAACACCCCCTATAGTTTCATAGATTTACTTAAATCTACACTAGAGTTTGTATATTACTAAAACACCCCTAGGTTGAATTCACTTTATAAAGGCATTGAACACTTAAGCCAATCAGGTTGGGCCCAATCTAGACCCAACACTTTTGTATAAGTGATCCTTGGGTTCAACCTCCATATAAAACCCAATGATAATGGATTGATGTGAGATAAAGCCCATCAGGTTATTAACCCTCTAATGGTTTATTGTCCATAACCTCCTAGCCCTGAATAATCAAAACACTACTCATAGGGAACGACCTCTTTCCTAATTGTAAAATGCAATATCAAACCCTATGTTAAGATGGATTTTGCGATAAAAACCTTTTGCAAATCTTTTTTAAAACATAGTAAACGTATAAATACATTTTGCAAATTAGATTTCAAATACAGTTAAACTCTATTGTGGTAGTTTTATGTTTCCATTAGAGAGAGTGTAAATTCTAATATTCACTTTGTCTAACAAAGGGGATGATCCTATCATTATGATCACCCACTCAGGTAATATCCTAAAGTATTCCAACATATCCAAGTATTTGACCCTAGATAGATCTCACTGGTTGGCATATCAAAAATAGCTTAGTCCAAGACCTAGTGTAATTTTGTAATCAAGTCTATAGTTAAGTGCAACTTTTTAGTTTTTCCACTCTATTTCCAAGGTTTAGGGCATAACTGGAAATTGGTGTAAGTTCAGTGTTTCTCACAAACACCCATTGACTAACCATGTGGTCTAATCCTAGAAACTAAGACAAGTTGCTCCACCATTTCAATAGTACATCAGTGTCAGCCTTGCCATGATAAATTCCCTGAGTTCATTCAATGGTTGGGAACATTCTAAACTAACACAAGTCTTGTGAGTGTCAAGTTTAAGGAGTTCTTCATAGAAAAACACAAATTTAAACATAAAACAATAATGTACTTATATTATCCATGCATGAAAGTCTATATACTTCAATTTGATTGAAGCTAAGTGCATGAACTTTCTAACAACTCCTACTTACATTTAAGTCCAATTAGGCATAAGCCTCAATCCCATATTGCCCATGTGTCCCCTAAACACTTTTTTAAGTCAATGGCTTAGTCAACGCACCTACCACATTATCTGTTGATGCTACCTTATGAATCTAAATGAATTTCTTCATTCAAACTATTTTATTGGCAACCTCACTTACAACAATATATTTGGCCTTAGTCATGGGGTCTACTATTGACATTTGTTTGTTATTTCCCCAACTAACAACACAAGACCCCAACATAAAGATGTATTTAAATGTAGACTTTCTATCATCTGGACCTGACTACAAATCGGTATCTATATAACCGATCATTTATAGTGAATTTCCAATGAAGACAAACAATGGTCTTTAGTTCTTCTTAGATATTTTAGTATATTCTTCATAGTTGTCTAGTACTTCTATTGATATCAATTTACATCTCTAACGGACTGAGCTATGTCAGGTCAAGTGCATAACATAGTGGACATGATGTTTCCTACAGTAGAGGCATAGGGAATCTTTCTCATGTTCTTTTTCTCCTTAGGGGTCTTAAGTGACATTCCTTTGGAAAGAGTAGTTCCATGTCTGAAAGGAATTAATCCCTTCTTGTAATCATACACGCTGAATCTCTTGACTATTTTGTCAATGTAAATAAATAAAGACAATCCAATCAACCACTTTGATTTATTTCTGTAGAGTTAAAGTCCCAAGGTAAAATAAGTTTCTCCAAGATCCCTAATGGAGTTACTATGAGAGTCATACTTTGACTATTGTCAGCATTCTTGCATTATTCCCAATGAGTAGAACGTCATTTACATATGGTACCAACAACGCAACCTTGTTTCCTAATGTCTTTTTATAAACACAAGGTTTTATCTGGATTTTTATCACTGACAAACTATTTGACAATTGAGTTAAACTAGATGTTCCAACTTCTCAAAGTTTACTTTAATTCATATATGGATTTGTTGAGATTGCATACCATGTGTTTCTGATCTTTAGCAACAAAGCCTTCTAGATGTTGCATATAGACATATCTAGTAAGATCTTCATCCGGTAACTTAGTCTTAACACCCATTTAGTAAATTTCATAATCATAGTGTGCAATTATAGCCAACAATATCAAAATAGATTTTAGCTTGGCCAAAGGTGAGAAGGTTTCCTCATAATCAATTCTCTCTTTCTAAGTATAATCTTTCACTACAAGTCAAGCTTTGTAGGTCTCAACCTTTCCATCAAGGCCCTTCTTCCTCTTATACATCCACTTACAACCAATTGTTTTTACCCTAGGGGCGGGTCTACAAGAGCTCATACTCTATTGGTGTTCATTAAGTCAATCTCGTCTTTCATGTCATTTACCCACTTCAATAAGTCTATGTCTAACAAAACTTTTGTGTAAATCAAGGACCTAACTCAATGTCCATGGTTTTCACTAAGTATCTTTCTTGATCATAACCAAAACAAATAGGATGTTTGGACACCCAATAGATCTTTTAACCTGGCTATTGGTGAACTTGTGGGGCATCTCCCACTACTCCTAAGCCCTCCTCATTAAAAACAATTTCTTCATGGTGATTGCTTAAGATGTAGTCTTCTTCTAAGAAGTAGGCATTTTCATTAACAATACTCTTTGTCCACTTGGGTTATAGAAGAGATATCCAATAAAGTCCTTAAGATAACCTATTAATAGATAACAATTGGTTTTGGATTCTATCAGCACCAAATTTTGGTTTGGTGTGTTGCTTGAACCCCCAATTCACCCTGAACAACTAGTCAAACCATTTTGATCCTACCAAAACATAAAAAAACCCAAACAACCCAAAAGCCCTTAAAGCCACCGATATATCTACCTGATACCAATTCAATGACCTTGATTAACCCATCATCTACACCTCAACCATTATATCATACACCACCATCAAACTACAAACATCTTAAAATGCTTATCCAAGAAATTTTAACTCAAAATTCCCCAATTTCCCTTAATCCTAAAACCTTTCATTGACGTAAATACACGTAACCCAGTTTTCCTTAATCCTAACACCTCTAAACCAGTCATACCATATGATTGAACGCTACACATACCAAAGCATTTACTCATTAAGTTTCA